TATATTTAACAATACCACCTGATGAGAATTATTTATATAGTAAGAATTAAATTAGAATTAAAGGAACAAAGATTGATGAAATTCACTTAAAGCATTATAACATTGTACCATAATTGCATTACATATAGACAATTGTTTATATATCATACCAGCTTCTCGAGGTCCATTATAGTCTTGTGATAATTCCCCATTACGGAATATTTTCAAAGTTGGATAGCCAGAAACTGAAAACTTTCCACAAGTGCTTTATACCGCCTTCAGTACAATCAACCTAGAATTGCACAATCATATTTTTTGTTTATTATTTTATCATTTAATTTTGCGCAAATTTATAACTAACATATGTCAGAACATCAAAACTAGATGAAATTTTATTACCTTAGCTAGAGCAATAGGTGTTTCATCTCCTTGAAGAGTCTCAGCAGCCTTTGCGAATTCGGGCTTCAAACGCTTGCAATGTCCACACCTTAACATTAAAACGTTAAAATTGTATAAATATGCCTACAAGTTATAAGTGAATAATATATAATTACCATGGTGCATAGAACATCACCAGAGCGGTTTCCAATTCACCCAATCTTGCTGTAAAGTCATCGTCTGTCAATTCGTGTACGTGTTCTTCACCGGCTAAACAAAAACTTGCGGCCGATAAAATAAACAAAGCTTTTAATATTAACATTGTGCTATAATATAAAACTTTAATAAATAATTTAAAAATTGGTATAAACGTATACCAATACGTGGCCAACCGGTTACTGCAAAAAAAAACAATAACCTTAATTATGTTTGAAGTTTTACCATCTACTGAAAACTGCCGTAAAGAGATAATAATTGTCTCATCCACACATTTAAATGCCGTGTGGCGTGATCTCATTGGTTAAAATTCAAATGTTAGTATTACCTGATCTAATTATTAGCTTGTAAAACTGAAAAGCGGTAAACGCGATAAATTTAAACTGTTCTACTAATCTTAATTGCTGATTGTGCAATAACTGTTATGATATTGCGTCAATCATTTCAAAACATTGCAAAAACACTTATCATTTAGCGATTATTCAAAATGCAGATAGAATGCAAGGTGAAAATTTTGCACAGTAAATATTATATTATTTATAAATACACCCAGTAAACAAATGCATTTGTTTTTCAGTAAATTGTTTACATAAAAATATTTAAATTTTATTTGCATATTACTTTTTATTTATAATATTTTTTGACTTGAAGAAAGCCTTCATATTTACACTAAATATTAATATTAGTCGAATATATAATAACAAACTTAAACAATAAACCAATATATATATATATATATATATATATATATATATATATATATATATATATATATGATGAAAGTTTCGTCGACGTTGATACATATTTGTAAATTTTTAGCAGCCCAACAGTCGAATTAAAAAAAGAGATTAAATAACAAAATTATTTATTCCATTATACGTTTCGACATTGATGTGTGTCATCATTCAGTAATCTAAAAAACATTTAACATAAATGCACAAGTGATGATAAATTGGTATGTATAATTTCCTCCTTTTATACATTTATATTATCATCACTTGTGCATTTATGTTAAATGTTTTTTAGATTACTGAATGATGACACACATCAAGTGTCGAAACGTATAATGGAATAAATAATTTTGTTATTTAATCTCTTTTTTTTAATTCGACTGTTGGGCTGCTAAAATTTACAAATATATATATATATATATATATATATTTTTATAAAAAAATGAGTATTTACTACACATTTGCTGTTCACTATACATTGCAAATAAAAAGCAATAATACTAATACTAATTTCTTTTCTTATATTTATTATGAACGAATTGAATTTATAGTGTAAACATTACATTTAATATTTAAAAGATTTGTGCTATGATGTGATATTATTGTTAAGCGTAGTATATATTATCTATTAATAGATATCTTCTAATAAATAATGAAATAAGTCAATAATTGTTTTTTCAGTATTCTGATTAGAATTTCATCTGATCCAATGATTTTCAATATCAAAGTTGTGTTGCCCGATAGGACAGAATTTACAGCCAATTTGAAGTTTTCAGATGTAATACAGTAGTTTACATAACCTCTAATATTTCATGCAATTTGATTTAAACATGATATTTAAAATACCAATTACTTACACCATAGCACATTTCTGTATGTTATAATTCACCATGAGGGTGAATATATTATTTAAAAGTTTATTTATAGGTATTCCAATAAGCATCACATTTTTTGATTCCGTTGGCTATGTAGCAAGAGTCGAAGGTTTGAAATTACAACATTAGAGAGTATTACTTGAGAAATTGTAACCCTCACCAAAAATATTATGTTCAATTAGGCGTATCTATGCAACCTGCCCTGAACCCAAATGCATCAAAAACTGATTATGTTTACTTATCACGCTGGGCTGTCCGTGATTACAATATAAACAGAGGTGATATCATTTCCTTGATATCACCAAAAAATCCTGAACAAATAATAATTAAAAGAGTTGTTGCACTAGAAGGAGATATTATAAACACCCCTTACTACAAAAGACCATATATGAAAATTCCTGAAGGCCACTGTTGGGTTGAAGGAGATCACACTGGTAAGCTCATTTCAAATAGTTCATTGCTTTTTTATTTTAAAAATGGTTATCGTTCTTACATAGGTCATTCATTAGATAGTAATTTTTTTGGACCAGTTTCTTTAGGACTAATAACAGCAAAAGCATCTTGTATAATTTGGCCCCCCACAAGATGGCAAAAGTTAGGATCATATATACCAAAACAAAGACAAGACAAGTATATGTAGAAATGTACAATAGCTAATTTATTACTTTAGAATGTATTAGAATATCAAATGTAAATATTTATTAAATATAAATACAATTGTTATATTTTTTCAAATCATATTTGCGCAAAACATTTTCCGTTTCCTGGCAAGCCATGCCTTCCCTTAGAATCTTGTAGCATCCACTTTTTGATAAATCTACCATAGTAGATGCCGCTCTGCTTTTGGGGTCTTCAGAAATGTTTCCACCATCAAAAATTGCAGGAAGTTTATTCCAGATAGCACTAAATTCTGATATGGTCAAAGAACTTGGTTCTCCTCTTAAATTTGCGCTTGTTAAAGCTAATGGAAATCCACATAATTTCGTAATAGTTCTTATGAACTTATGATCTGGTATTCTAATACCTATTTTTTCAATACCAGGATTTAGGAATGGACTATTTAATAAGTTACTTTTGTATAAAATTATTGTAACTGGGCCAGGAAGTAGATCATTTAGTAAATCATCAGATAAATGGTATGATAAAGTGTATTGACGAAATTGGAAAAGGTCACTCACACATATTGCTATTGGCTGAGCCTCATTACGAGCTTTTATATCATATAAATGCCGTAGTGCCGCACAGTCATTTGCATTACAGGCAACTCCATAAACAGTGTCAGTGGGTAGTGCTATAACTTCACCCGATACTAATAACTTCACAGCACAGTCTACAGCTAGGGGTTCACTACAAGATATAATTTTTGGTTTCTCTAATCTATTAATTTTAGGTGACGGCACAATGCAATCATTTGCCAATTGCCTTTCACCCATTTTAATAAAATTATTTATTATCTGTGATATATTAAATCGATTAGTAAGCAATGATCTTGCCTTGAAAATACCCATGTGAATCCTTATCTAATCCTTTCATCAAAACACTAAAAACTATTCCTTCCAATTATAACCACAGGATTGGTTACAGCACTTATAAAATGTAGTCATCGGCTCATCAGCAGAACGTGTTTGCATTTGCATGAAATATGCACGACCATGGCCACAAGAAGGACATACAGCATCAGTAGAATCTACATTTTCCCATGCAGCAGCACCGCCCATAACATGACCAATTTCCTAAAATAATAAAGAATTGTTAATAAAGAATTGAAACTAATAAACATCCAATAAAAACAATTCTAGGAATATTGGTTAATAAATATATTAATTACTAAGTCAACATAGCTAGTCAACAAGTATTTAAAAGTAAAACATTTAATGAACCAATGACTGCCGATGATGCAGACAAAAATATTGCGCAATATTGCAGAATATTAAATTTTACGCGTTTAACGAAAGAACATCAGAACTTTCGTGAATTAAACAATTTAGTTAATACTGAAACAAATACAATGTTTGCCAAAAACTGTTTATTATTAATTCTTTCATACCTTTAATTTGGGATATATTTTAAGTCCAATTTCCTTGACAATTGGATATACGTATGGACAAGTATGACAAGAGTAACGCAAATCACCTCCGGCCCCTGCTTCAACACATAAGAGATTTGCACAAGTGGGACAAAATAAAACCATAATCAATAAGGAATAAATAATCATTTAACAAAAATTTCGAATAACCTCGAAGTGTCAAAAATTGCACATGTTCAAATGAAGTGTTGAATGACACATTGCTCTGACACATCTGCAAACTTTTCAAGTGCACCATCATCAAAATGAAAACTTACCGTTAAGATTTATTTAAATTTAAAAATAACACACACACACACACATATATATATATATATATTATATATATATTAAATGTTAAATATGAACAATACAACACTCAGATTTTTAACACACACTTTATTTAATAATTACAGACGTTTCGAGACCATGGTATGCCTCATCTTCAGTGTAATTTCAAAAACAGTTACTTATATACTACACATTCTTTAATATTTTATTTAAATTACATTTAATTTTTGTTATACACCAACTATTCCTTGCAATGCTTGATTCAGTATTAAAAAACATGTGACACTTACAGAAATATTCTAAATCAATTACTTTTAGCGTATGTGCAATATTATATTTGGGTTTTGAATCATCGTGCTTATTTATTATGCGATTTATTCTTTTGAGTAAATCATGCGACCCCTGCTAAAAAAACTAGCTTTTCATTTTCAATCATAGCACTCGTATTTCATGTTGGATTTTTAAAATGTTAATTTAATTTAATTTTTCATTATTTAATATTTACAATATCCAAAATTGCATCGTAAACTTCTCCTTATTGATATCGTAAGACCTGATTTGTAATCATCCTTGCTTTCCCGTCATATTCAGAGTATCAGATTGCTTCAATTGTAATTAGTGATCAATTTTGAACGTATTTAGAAGTATTGTCCAAATATCAGTAAAAATGCAAAGAAATTATACATATTTCTTGAACTATATTGAAAAAAAACTAATTATTAAATTTAGAGTATATAAAGTAATATAAAAGTAACTTCTATATAGAGTATTTAGAGTATGGACTCCCATTAGGTATAAAAAAAAGCCTTAAGATTCTCGTTCCAAAGTAAATTTTGCTTTCATTTTTTTCCATTTTCATAACCCTAACCACGCATGTCTTCAAACATTCATCAACATTCAAAGCAGGGCCTATTCTCTCAGAACAAAATTCTCGTTCAGGGGCTACTTAAGGGTCCATTTGTAGTCGCAAATTTGGCGCTAGTGAGCCGATGAAAAAGTATTTTAAATGTTTTATGTTGGTTACTAAGAAAGGTGTAAAGGTGTAATTTTTGTGTAAGTTTACAACATATTCTAATATTATCTAGGGTTGGTTTATTTTGAAAATATTTACAACCGAAATAAAACATAGAGCATAGAACACAGTAACATTTATATAGACATTGTTTTTAGTATAAACATACAGCAATTAAGCATAGATAAGTAAACATGGATGTACCTCCCGGACCAACCTCTATTAATGAGTTTTACCTCAAGAAAATGTAAAGAAGAATCATCTTCCAGTTCTTGAGTAAATTGTAAATACAAATTGTACTATTAACTATATATTTAACATTAAGTAGTTGCGTGTCGTAGACTTTCGAACTGTATCGACCGTTTTATTTCTCTACGTCGTTTTTATAAAACGACCTATTCGTTAAGTAAAGAAAAACGGACAACCAAATATATTTATAAACGGCGAGTTGCTAGGATATCTGTCAAACATGTAAAACATTCAATACAATTTTTCCAAAATAATTAACCTTTTTAGTTTTCTGTGATATTTTCTGCTTACTTTATGGATAAATTATTTATTTCTGTGAGATTGAGAACTTTAAAAACTACATATTCAAAATACATTTCAAATATGTCAAAAAAAAGTAAAAGCAAAACAAAAGCTATAAATGTAAGAAGTTATTTCTGCAAGTTTTATTCTAAAGTCTAATAATTCTATTTATTTATATAGGTTAAGGAAAATACAGAAGAACCTTCCCCAATATCACTTTCTAAAACTGGCAATGTTTGTATTAAGGTGTTAGCAAAACCTGGAGCTAAATTGAATTGCATAACTGGTGCGAATTGTAATAATTTTGTTTAAGTTTCTAACATATTTTAAAATTAAGCATTTAGTAACTTGACACTGGTATTATTAGATACTAGAACTTGTAGAATGTAGAGTACTTAAAATCAATATAAATGTTCTTAAAATTTACCAAAACTTATTACATATTTTGTTCATAATCCTGAAAAATTCATTGCAAGTATATTTAGTTTTTAACCAATCATTCAAGAACTAATTAACAAATTAACAATTATATTCTTTAATTGTTTTAATAGTTATTTAACAAAACTTACTACATCAACAATTGCTAAATTGTCTTTTGATTTTTGGATGAAAATTTTATGATTGAACTGCAATATCAAATAATAATTGTATATGTTCTCTATTTTTTATTTTAAGACATTTCTGTAGATGGTATTGGGGTACAAATAAATGCGCCACCAGTTGATGGAGATGCAAATACCGAGCTAATAAAATATCTGGCTTCAATACTAAATCTAAGAAAAACTGATATATCACTTGAAAGGGTTAGTCTAATGAAATATTTATTCCAAATATCATTAAAGTGCGGAGGTAAATATAAATATTTTTATTTTTTAGGGTTCAAGATCAAGAAATAAAACTATATTAGCAAGTAATACGACTGTTGAAGATGTAACTTGTAAAATAAAATCAGCTATGCAAAATGGATGAAGACTAGTCTATATGTCAATTTGGTAAATTATTGGATATTCGTCAGACTGCAAAATCTAATATTTAAAATTTAAATTTACATATAATTTAATAAATTTAATAAATTTACAATATCCACCTATCCTGTTTTACGCAGAAGATATAATTTGAAAAATTCACTCATATGGAAAATCGTGCTATATCACTATATAGAGAAGCCCTTTTTGTCAGTTTGTAATATGGTGAATAACATTAAATAAAAAATAAATATAAATATATTTAATATCAAACATATTCAATAAATAATGAAAATATTATTTTATTTCGATGACTAAACAAATATAAAAAAAACCTGAATTTTGCATTTTCTTTATTGATAAAAATTAAAATTAAAAATCATTTAAGTTGGTTGCAATGAATAAGAATGAACATTATTTTTTCGTTTTGATAAAAAAAATAAATAAAAATGTTATTGTATATATAAGCAAATTATAGCTTAGTGCCTTAGTACTTATAATTTTGTGTAAATGCAAGATTAATAATTTTCGTTGAAAAATAAATTATTTCCAAAAACTGGATCGAAAATGTGTAAAATGAGTATTGTAGGAATAGGTGTATTTAGTGAACTTAACTCGTATATCAATTTTCAATTTTTTATAAAATAAACTCATAAAAAACTATTTGTTCTTGGTTATTGCATTCAACTGAACATATTAATTTTTATTTTGTATTGTTTATCTTAATCTTTATTTGTAAATATCTTGTTAAAAATTTCAATATTGTCGCATTTAAATGATTTTGAAAAATAAGCAAACACCTACCTTTGGAAAATCTATTAAACAATTTTGCAATTCGTGTTTCATTTTTAACATACATTAATTAGTACAATAAATGATTTTTTATCTATATTGGCCATCATTACGGTTGCGACCACAACTGGAACCTCCAGAAAAACTCGATCGAGATTCTGCAAAAAAGTATATGTATTATATAAACATATAAATTATTTATTATGATGTAAATTTACCTCTATTTCGTCCACTGTGAGAACTGCGGCTTCTGCTTGATCTTTTAGCACGGCTTTTGTCTTTGTACTTCTTTCTTCTGCATCCGCCAACTTTACTGCTGCTACGCGAAGATCTTGAACTATTTGTAGTACTACCAGTATTATATGATGATCTAGTTACATAATAATCGTTACTACAATTATTTAGCTTCATAAATAAAAACATTAACATAAAATTCAAGTTTAACAAAATATTTAAATATTTTTTTGAATTCTACAGAATGGTTATTATTGTTAGGTTTACTTTGAATGCCTCGAAGAACGTCTTGACTTAGATCTTTTTGGGCGTCTCGTGCCGGATTTACTTTTCTTCAAGCGTAATTTCAGTTTAATAACCGAAGGATTTTTAGATTTTCGAGATTTGTGTTTCGGTTTAGGTTCTTTTGTTTTTGATCTTCTTACTGGTTGAGATTTAATTTCTTCAAATAAGGCTGGATCATCTGGGTCTGTTGTCTGAAATTAGTGATAATGATCAATAATGATGAACAAAAATCATAAGAGCAGTAAATATTAAATAATAGTATTTAATTAGTAAGAAAAGTTTAATCTAAACATATCAAGATTTTTGTTTACAATAGTTGCTCACCACTGCCTGCCCAGGTCTTAATGGAAAATCAGTTGTTGTCAATGCACAAACTTCTTTTTTGGGATTTTTATCTCTTGGATCTGCCAATGCGTCCATGGAAGGACAATCACAAATGTTATTATAATATACAGGACTATTTTGATTTAGGTAGTGAGAAATTGGTCCTTTGTAAAACATGTTGCGGGCCAATGCTAGCAAGCGTCTGTAGAATATTTTACCAGTTAAATTAAAATATTTTGTAAGCAGAAATAATCAATGGATAAAAATAGTCTATGGATACCGGCACATTAATTCTTGTTGACTTGCCGTTAAAGGAGGCAGTTTGCTTTCTGGAGTCTCTTCGACTTCCGCCTGGAGAGGATAAAGAATAAATATGATTTAATATTAATAAATTAGAATGTTAAATATTATGATAAATATAAAAATACACGATTAATTTATTCTTCAAACCAACCTGTAATGTTTTCTTTCTGGAAGAACTTTTATGAGACTTTTTGGATTTCCCTTTTTTTGAAGTTCTGTGGCTCTATAAAGAACGTAAATATATTGCGTAAATATATATTGAAAACATAGTGAATAAAAACATATTAATATTCATATCTAGTTAAATAATTTAAATAGAAAATATAGTATTTTCTATTTTAAGACATATTTTATATACAACAATTGGTGATGTGATGAAAAAATAGGAAAAAGCACGCATCATTAGTGGTCAAATTAGTTCGATTTGTTTTCTATTCAGATGAATTTGTACTCATGATCTAATGCACTATTATTAACTTTCCGTAGGGCAAGTTATAGTAATCGCAAAAAAATCGAAAATGAAATTTTTTATATATCTTTACGTTTCAAAACCTTCTGAACATTTTAGCATACCTTAGAAAAAATGGATGTATGTGTTTATGTGTGTATGTATGTGTGTGTGTATGTGCGGATACAAATTTTCGTCGACGATTTCGGGAACACGGATCAACCGATTTGAATAATTCAAAAAACACTCGATTTGTATTGATACAGAGACGTGCTGATTAGTTTTTGGTAAAGGCAGGTCTAGCCGTTCCGAAGATACGGGGCAAAAAGTGCCGAAAACGGTAACTCAGTTTTTAAGAGAACGGAGCGTCCGATTTGAGTGATTCAAAAAACATTTTACTTGTATTGACAAGATGAAGAATTGATAAAATTTTCATGAAAGCAGGTCTAGCGGTTTCGGAGATCTAATGAAAAAAAGTAAAAAAAAGCCATTTGGCGGTTAAAAATGATCATTAGACATATGCACATCAAATTATCAGATATTTTATAAAGGTTTTAACAATAAGTATGAATTTTCTTTACATTCCTATGGGTTCCGATCAATGTTTATCCGTTAGACGGCGTCGCGGCGCTTACGCGATTTGACATTTCATCTCTATGCAGTTAAAGCAGTACGATTGCTTTGAAAAAAGTTCAGAATTTCCAAAATATGTCAAAATGAAAATATTTTTCTCTTCAAAAAAATTTTTTCAAAAAAGAAATTTTTTTTTTGAAGTAATTTTTTGTCAAATTTATAGTTTCTCAAAAATCTAATTTTTTCGAAGTAATTTTTTTTAAAAAATGTTAATTGTTTTTAAAAAAATAATAATTTTTGGTACGGAAAGTTCCAGCAATTTGCTTTAAGGCACGATGCCTTAATTGCCTTAAGACAGAATTCCACTTACAGCTAGTTTTAAAAAATATTTCATAAATTTGCTCCAGAAACAAAAAAGAAAAAAAACGTTTTACCTTTTCCGATTTACCCTTAGATCTTGACCTCGATCTTTTTGCGGAACGTCTTGATTTGCCTTTAGTTGATTTTCCTGATCTTGCGAATGGGACATCTCCCACGCACACACATGGGGCACCTTGATTTTCATCGACAAATGAAGAGTATGTCATTTTTGAACTTTTTGATGAAAAAGTAGGCAGCGATTCCTCTGAAACACCAGTTATTTTACGAAGATGTTGTAGTACAAGGCCTTTCAAAGTCGCCTTATAGATAATAGAAACATTTTGGTTCTTTGGTTTAAATTAATTAACTATATTCAAAAGTGAAATGTACATATTAGGCATTAATGAATATTTTATTTCAATTACCTTGGCATACGCAAGTTCTTTTATCGGTCGATTGTTGTCCAAGAAACTTTGCGCACGTGCAGGTTTGCATTGGGTCAGGAAAAGGATTATCAGGAATAAAAGCACCGCATATGCAATCATTCATTTCATTAATGTACATTGATCTCACCTATTGAATTTTTTATATTATTATTAAGAATATCGTATGTAAAAATTGTATATATATAGTTTTTAGGATACTCTATGTCTGTTACACCTAACATTCATTTTTAATTGATCGTGTTGTGAATGAAATCAGATTTTTTAACATAAATATTTGCACATACATAATCAATGAGATGAAGGTATATAACACAAAGTTAAAATAAAATAGTCCTCACACCGTAGAGCAGAGAAATATATTAATAAATTATGTTTTCATTGTGTAATTACATAGAAGGTAGTCATTGAAACCGCACATATTTCAATTGTGATATAAAATTATTATTATAATACTAACAGTTAAAAAAATATTGCATATAAGTAAAAAAATTTATATGCGCTTTGTCTAATAAATATTTTAAGTAGTGCTTCAGGAATGATGTCATTAATATATTAAATTAAAAAATGTATTAGAAATGTTTCCTAATCCAATAAGCTATTTAATTAGAATAAAATTGCCAGATATAAGTCGATAAATATTCTAAAATATATTTATATTCAATAAATGCTCTAAACAATTCAAGCAATTACCTTGTTCTGAAGGTCTGATAAATTATTATTGATAGGTAGCAATTCTTTTTCAAAAGTTCTGCGAGCTTTTTTGATTGGATCTTGTTTAGGAAAAAGTGTCGTAGTGCAGTAGCATTTTCTATTCGATTTTCCACATTTATCTCTACCTGGACATGAAGATGCGCCCGGATTGCATTTTATATTTGGATATCCAATGCTTTGCGGGTCGCAATCCAATGAAGAACACGACTCCATGTTGATGTATTGCTACAGAAATAATAAATATTTGAATTTTTTTTAAAAGAAACTTTAGAACAATTGAGATAAAATAAGATCAACAAATATAAGCATCGAAGTGCAATATAATAACTACCTTTATAATCTGCGATAACTTAGATATTTTTGAATAATATTTGATGTATTTTAGGTGCTATTGAAGTTCCATTTTGAGTTAATGTGTCTTTGCCCTCTATATTCATATACACTTATTTTTTATTTTACATTTTATAATTTTGATGTCAAATCTGTTGTAAATTATAAGGCTGACGCAATTGTTTTATGTTAAAAATGATGTATTTTGCTATTGACGAAGCACATATAAAATAAATGATTTTTAGAAGAATGCATAATAATCATGAATAATCTGTGTTTCTACATAATGATTTCTATTTCATTAAATTATTTTATAAAAATGATCAGCCAAATATTTGTGATTCAATCGCAGGCAGGCTTGATTTTTGAACACAAACAAAATCATTATATTTGACATTTCTTTTTCAGTGGAAAAATCTAAATTAAAAGTTATATTTAAAGTAGTCAATACAAAGTAATTATTGACTTCGGAACATTTCATGCAACGTACAACAATAAGTGAGTAAGCTTTTGATGTTTATATTTTAAAAATGCTTTTAAATTCAATCTAATGAAACATTTATATTTTGTTGCTTCACAGAATTAGTAACAATGATATTTACACATATCAAAAAAAAATATTCAAATTAACTTGAGTGTTAACTAATTTTGAACGCTTATTCTGACATGGAAGACGCAAATAAGTCTAAGAAACGGTCAAACAAATTGACAGTAGATAAAATTGAATCCCATAAGCGATTATTGGAAATAAAAGAAAAAATGAATGAGTCGGTTACTCGTATGAGTCGGTCAGTGAAGTGCGACGTGAGGTGCGCCGCGTCTAGTTGTCCTCGGCACAGGCACGGAGTCCAACATCGCCCGACCGATCTGGCTTCAATGCTTCGATTCAGCAGAGAATTGCTGCTGAAACCACCCGATGAAAACAGCGATCTAAGAAATCCCGAGGAAAACTTAGGTATTGGCGATGGCAACGACGACATAAGAATCAGTGAAATGAATTTAGACAGAGATCCATTCGAAATGCTTCAAAAAGCCATGAATGATTTAAAACCGGATGCGGTAGAACAAAAATACGACGCAGAAAATCATAAGAAACCTTTTCCACATTTCACTGCAACTGTTATAGAAGAAGAAGAGTCGATTTATTCCGAATTGGGTACGAGTGAAGATAATGAAAAACAAGAGGAGTACAAACCGCAAACGTGGAGATGCATGAGCAATATTGGAGTTCAGACTGAAGCAGTGCAACCGCTTGTGACTCGAATTAAAACTGCTTCATCCATCAAAACCAGTAATTCAGTCATAATACCAGTAAATTCTAATATGCAGTTAAGTATTACCGTCGTACCTATGCAAGTAGGCCCAGCTGCGAGCAGAACTATTATTAGTTGTAATAGCGCAGGTGACTCCACAAAGCAGAAGGCAACTGAAATTTTCACTCATATGGACATGCGAAACCAAAAGCAACATGAAATGACCCTTCATTTTATTAAAGATGGAACATCACTCAATAGTGAAGGTAAACAAACACAAAAATATTGCTCAGATATAGAAAAAATTGCGGAACAACCTGGTGAAATCAGTCCAATATCTGTATCTGAAACTTTAATCAACGTTAACAACCAAAATGATAATGTCGATAACAAAAGTGATGATGATACAATATCAATGCAATCTAAAATAAGTAATCATAAAAAAAATCATTATTTAGAATACCCAATGAGTGATTCAGCGACCTTAAAAATACCACCGATTAATGCCGGCGGTAGTGATCGCACTTCTGGCAACTTTGGTGATGGTTCATCTGTGTTTGAACCAAAATATTTGGCGCAGTCAATGTATTATAGAGAGCATAATTTACAACGTTGCGTTCGCACTATGTCACAAGTTCGTCGACAATTTCAACGCGAATTTGCTCCTTTGCACGATGAATTATCTTATATTCAAAATAGAGTACGTTGTATTTTCAGGTATACGGGTGGGATAGATGTCACTAATAAAATTCCTGAAGAAGTTAAAAGATCAGCTATATTATCCACAATTTTCAGACGCCCTGAAGCATTTGGAGAACCAGAACCTAAACGTTCTTGGCCAGATCATATCCGAAAATATCCTAGTTGTAGTGTCTGTACAAGTTTCTCAGCGATGGCGATGCAAAGAAATGAAAAATCTTGCAATACAATTTGGAAAAAAAATAGTATGCATAGAAAACCTGTGGTAGTACAACAATTTCACGCAAAACCGTCTAATACCAGAAGCAATGCAGTAAAGCAATTTATGGGCTGTACAAAACATTCAAAGCCTGCAGCTCTTCCTCCTAGGCCAATTGTGTCCGTAACACTTGACGGCATGAGCTATTCTTCACGTCATACTATTCCAAGACCAATAACTCCGTACAAAGAAAATAGTACCAGGAAAGAAGCGTTTTTTAGCTCAACTATAAGTTATTTTCTAGATAATCGCACACGGCAGAGAGAGGCAACTAAACATTCTCGCAGGTATAATACTGAAAAGGTTTGTTCGTGGAGAACACCACATTCTAAAAGAGATTTCACTTTGCATACAAATAGACACAATTTAGATGATTCTTCTAGCATCAGCACGCTTTCTGTATGTCCGAGTGACCAAACAATAAGCTTAGATAGTGTAATATGCAGACAGGAAGCCGATGGAAGCGTTGTTTATGAGTAGAAGCCCAAAGATGTTTTTGTTTATATGAATTTAGTAAAATAAAGCAAATATTTTTAGAACTTATATACAAGTCATGTTCTTTTCATTTGATCGAAAGATCTTAAGAGAAATTATGTTGCAAAAAAATATACACCGTATTAAAAACTAATAATAAAACGAGATTTCAAAACACTTGTGCATTACTTAAAAACGTTTTTGGACTATATCATTTATTTTTTACTTCTTAAAATGACTGTAAAAATCACAATATCTTATCATTGATGAAAATGATTCAATTAGCTTGCTACTTCTTCGGAAAAAGTACTAGGCTCAGAACGTTGAGGTTCTGGTGGAGGAGGCTCTTCAGCAGGATAAGGTTCATTCTCAGAAATATGCCGAATGGTACTTGTTTCAAAAATATCCGGATTTATATATTCTAAGCTTGGAACGATTCTAGTCATGGATAACGAAGGTGCAGCGGAAATTGTCGTCTGTATTTCTTCCTCTTGAATTACTCTATTGTAACAATTTTTCAAACATGTTATAAGCTAATACTAACCATAAGACATAGCGTCGTAGGCGCCGTGTTTAATTTATTTGTTTGTTCAATATTAATAATTCAAAAACTGTCATGTACTATTTTTTTTTATTATATCTTTTTCATTATAATGTGCAATTGGATAATGACAAACAAACAACAAATGATAAAAATAAAGCCGAAAAGCACGAATTCAGCTTGACGAATAAAAATAACAATTATTAATATTTTTAGAAGCATTTTTAATGAAAAAAATTGCAAAGTGACGTTCTTACACACATCAAGAAAAACACAAATAATATTAAACTTTCTCGATACCTGGAATATGTAGTGGGTGTGAGAAAATGCGGATAACATATTAAAGACGTTTGAGTTTCTTTATCAACTTTTTTAATTTTTTTTTGTCTTGGACAATACATGTTGACGTTAAATTTTTTTGAAATAAATATTTGAGATTGTCAGTTCAAGGCATTCTTGGACGTAGTAGTATGACGTTAAATTTTTTAAAGGCTCAAATAGTCTTACTCAGCCCTTGATTTTGTTAAATTTGTATTATGATTACCAGATTTAAAGCTTTTTGAAAATCAATTGAAAATAAAATAAAATATAAAAGATAAATTTTAGATAATATTTCTAACTTAAATTAGACAGAGTAAAAGAAAAGTTGTTGTACTAGTAAACCCGGTGATTGTAAATCTTCAACGTTCCGAATATCGAGCAGTTGACTTGTATTTGAATTTGTTTTATTAGTAGCAAATTAATGACAATGACATGGTAATATAAAAAATAGAAATTAAAACTAAGTTGCGTTATAAAAATATACAACACATCCGGCTAAATAATTTTATTAATTGACATAATTGTATATAATTTTATCATTATTAAAAAACAAATAATAAAATTGCGTTTGTATTAATAAAATGTCAAAAATTCCACGTTCAGTTACCCAAATATGATAAAAATTTATGACATCTTTTATCAATTATGAAAAATAAAAAATAATGATACAAAACATATAAAAATATTGGAATCTGTTATTGTTATTGGTATTAATAGTAACCAACATGTAAGTAGATTAAATGAATTTATTTCACTGCTACTGTCAAAATTTTTATTTTGAAATTTTAATATACAACTCAAAATAAAAAAATTAAAACCGATAATTTCAGAGATTGCTGATTTTTACTAACAAACTTATGTAAGCAAGCGATCTAAACATTTTCAGCGAATATATTAGCATTTGTTCGAGAACATTATTATATTAGTTTTGAAATATAAACATTATACTTTCTGTACATAAATATAATACGGCCGAAGGGCAATTTAAAAGGCTGAGTTAAACTCCAACACCAATAGTGTGAGACAGTGGCGTCGGAACCAAATGTTTGATGGGTGGGCTCGTTTTTTTTTTTTTTTAGATAGGCAGCCGGTGGTCTCGTTTTTTTTAGAGATATTAGCCCATATAATTTTTTGAGATTGATGGGTGGGCTGAGCCCCCCCATCAAAATTCATGGGTGGGCTCAAGCCCACACAGCCCACACGGTTCCGACGCCACTGGTGTGAGAGATTTCCATTTCACTCCGCAGTGACCTAAATGGGCTATTTTCACTTGAAAACATATTTTTCATCTACTTATGTTTCCAATAGAAAATGGACATCGCAACTGCACGATGTC